TATATATTATATTTTAAATAACCTAATTATTAAATTATGTTAAATCAGGTAAAAATGTCTAAAACACATTGCTCGTGTGTTATGTGTTATATGGGAAATATTTATGTATTTTTTTTCCTTATCGTTACACAAGTACCGTAAACATATAAAAAACTACTTCTGAGATAACTACGTATTATACCTAACATCTTTTGAGTGATCACACTGAACAATTTACTAAAACTAAAATTGATAAAAAATAGTGTAAGTGTAGTATAATTTTTGTAACGTATAAATTCATCTAATTTTTAGAACATTTTTACGAACAACGAAAACGTTATATTATGTACTTAATATTGGTTGTAAACACATATAATCCACACATTATATAAAATCTTCCAATCTTTATGGTGATATTTTTTAAAATTATTATTATTTAAAACTTTTGTGACAAAGTCATCTAACTTATTGGTATTTACTATATTTTTTAATGGTAACAAATCTATATCAAGAGCAAATTGAAACTTTAATATCATAGTGCTCGGAATCTATATTATTCATCACACTTTGCCGTACTCAGCCGCGCGTGAATATTGTCAGGTAACAAAAGTCATTATGAAGCAAAAAATGCGTATAAATGTTACAACTAATGTGTTAAAATTTTATCTCAAATCTAATGTATATTATAGTTATACACAGTCATATTATACTTACGACGCTGTATCCGACTTCGTAGTGTGTGCCCTTCACGTGGTGTACTGGTATGGAGTTTAGCCTCCGGGGCACGGYGTGCAGGCATGATACTAGAAATGACATTATCGAGTATTGGTTTTAATATTGTAATGTGTCTTAAATCTTAGACTGATCATAAAATCTATTTCACTAGATCACCGGCGGTGGTATACAAAAAATAAAAATAATGTTATAACATAATATAATAACGATCAAACGATTTGGAGACGTCAACAAGACTAAATTTACGAACTGTACGCGGGTGCGCTACAGGGCTGAAACCGTATGAATCTCAAAGCCAATTATGCGGATTTATTATTTTAAAAATATAYACATATAATAATATAATATATAGAAATTATACTAAATATTGTTACCGAGTCCGCCGCGCTTAGCAGTGTGCGATGCATCGCGTCGATGTCGGTTTTTATGCTTTCCGTTGATTTTTTCCCTCCAAAATCTTTTCCTGTATAGTCATGAATCATGAATGCTTACACATAATAATATAATTTTAGCTGCCGTGAAGTTATATGTATTTTATACGATACAAGCGTKTGTGCGTGTGTGCAGTGAGCAGTTCGGTGTCATATGACTGATAATAATCGAAACGACACTCGGTCGAAATGCGGTATTAAATTAATATAAGGTTTCAACGGATTAACTCGATAAAAACTATGCACCAAAACAATAATTTAAGCGTATGTGCCTATATAATGTTATAATGAAGGTACTTAGAGTTTATGTTCCAAAATCGATATTAAAAAAGAATATTATCATATTTTAACGACCATCATTACAACTGTTACACAACTGTATAAGTTATTAGAATTATTAAAAAGGAGGTTGAAAATAAGTCTTATCAGATGATTTATATTTTCATTTATTGATAGTGCGCATACATATGATATATTAAATATTAAATACATAAATCATACAACCAGATCGATTTATCATTAGATAATTCTTTTTAAACCGAATCAAAATAATTATTAAATACAAATTCATCAAACTGCAAACTATTTATTATTATATAA